TGTACTTGAGTAAAAGTACAGCTACGCTTGCGTCAATTCAGTCAAAGTACAAAAGTACCAGTTTTTAAAAAATACACAAGTATCAAAAGTAAAAAGTACTATTAGTACGGTCAGACATGAGCAGCAGGATTTAAATACAGCAGGCAAATGATGATTCATTAAAAACTGGCTGTCCTTTCATTAATAGTTCAAGTTACTCAAGTATTCAGATCCTTTACTTAAATAAAAGTACTAATAGAAAAAGTACTTAAAATGTCCTGTGACTGTTCTTCTATTATTAGATTATTACTCCTCATGTAAAAGCAGGATTTCACCTCCGTAGTTGTTATTTAATCATTTTGTATCAGAGAGCAACTTATTATTATTTTCATTCAGGATTAATCTGTTGGTTATTTTCTTTTTCATTCTGTAAATAGTGTCAGTGTCGGTCTAATAATCCTGTCAGCGCTGCTGTTGGAGTTTCCTTTATAACATTTAAATGTAGTGAACACCTCCCTCTGAGATGGAGCACATGAAGAGAAAACACTCAAGTAAAGTACAAGTACACTACTTGAGTAAATGTACTATGTTACTGTCCGCCACTGGTAAATACAATCCTAAAACACGGTCAGCGACCACGGAGGCGGAGCTCCGTCCTGCAGCAGCCGATCACAGGTAGCAGCACAACGAGAACGACCGTCACCCCTGGAGCTCCGGCACTAACGCGGCCTCGGCGTCGGCGCCACACGGGCCCCTGCAGTTAGCTGCACCGAGGGCCCGCAGTTCTGCAGGAAACTCAGAACAAACTCATTTGCCATGTACGAGTGCTGGTGGATGGATTATTCCTGTTCCTGGGTGGCACACTGACTCGTCTGCTGAGTTATTTCATTACATCTCAGCTCCTGTTGTCACTGCAGTTTAGCCACGTTGTGATTGGTTCATTCTGACGCCTGATTTTCTGCTGCCAAAAGCAGGAAATCTGCTGCCTGGAATGATGGTCTCTGATGGTCTCTGATGGCGCTGACAGGAGACGCCTCCAGTGACGACTGTTTAAAGCTGACAGGTGTTGATGAGTCGTTTGTTCACTCGCAGGGCCGACGCGGCTCCGGGTCAGTGTTCAGAAACTAAAAGTGGGAACTGTTATGAGCGCTGCTGACTTTTAAAATCATCACAGTTAATTTAAGTCAAACCTGAATCCTATTCTAATTATTTTCAAGGCACGGCAAAGGAAACACGCCCCCCCCCCAACCTCTCTACCTCTGATTGCTTTAATTCAAAACGCTGTTGAGTCGGCGGCGGCGCTGACTGGCTGCCAACAGGTGGGTGAAAACAGCAGCTGGAGACTCCTCTGCAGAGCTGGGAAACAACATAAGCTGTGACAGGCTGACGGGATCTGTAACCCAGAGGAAGTGTTTTACAAAGACTTACAGGAGCCGCCGTAGATCCCAATCAGAAAGAAAGCAGCCTTAATGTTCAGCAAGCAGTCAAAGAGAAGCTGCTGGAGCTGCTGAGAGGCCATCCACTCCTCTACAGTACGGATTAAGGCGCAGCGGCGGGCCGTCTGGTTGGCTACACGTTATTATTGGCCTCTATTTTAAACCGTATTGAAACCATGACAACAGCAAAAAGACCAACTTTAGCTCCTCTCTGTCCTAAACGTTCCCTCTGAATCTTCCAGCCAACGTCATCGACCATCAGGCAAAGCCCGCTCGTTTTTATCTGGAGTCATCTCAGGCTAAGAATAGCGGGCGGCGGCGGCGGCCCCGTCCCACACCCTGCGAAGCCCGCGAGCCTCTTTAAAACATCCTATGACCGCTTCGTTTTCAAGTTCTGACAAATGTGCATCGACAAGTGGTGTTTCAGTCCTGGCGAGAGGGTGACTCACAGCGACAGGATTGCAGCCAACTGTGGGCAGAGGAGCGCTGGAGATGCCTCATCCCCTATTTTAGCCCAGAAGGGCTGAGGGAGGAGGAGAGAGAGCCTAAAGGATCTAAATCTCATCTCCCAGCGTGATAAAGGAGGCTTCTTCCACAACATGCTCACACATATATATATATATATTTTTATTTTAGCTTTCGAAATAGGAAAGCAAGAAAACTACCTCTCTCTGCTGAAAGAAGAATCCTTCTTTCCACTTGTAGCTGCAGTTTGAAAAGCAGGGAGCCAAAGATTAGGCTTATCATGTGGAGGACGCACAAAGCGTTTCACACCAGAGGAGCCTACTTTGGATGATATTGATTTCTGAACCAGGGAGTAGCTCAGATGTAGAGACAGAAGAAGAGTCAGAGAGGAGGGGGGGGGCAGGAGTGTGTCTGGGGAATATGTCGTCTGACTGCCTTTAGACGAAAGTCTTGTTTGCCAACATGGAACCGGGATAAAACCAACGCTGCTGTCAGATTAAAGAGAACAAACATGTAGTTCCAAGAAGTGAACTCGCTGGGGAGGAAAAGGAAACTCCTGCTCGTTAGCGCAGCGATTAGCAGCCGGTCCTTATTGTCTCCTTAGAGATTCTGCAGCCTCGGGTCAGAGGTTACTCAGCACATTAGAGATTATGTAAGCTTAAAGTAAGCAGGAGAAACACACGGCGTGCAGCGCGTTCGATACCCTGATCGTCACCTTGACAAGATGGCTGCTGCAGCGGCAATTTAAACCTCTTCAGCCAATGAGCTCACCTTTTCACTGAAGACTGAGGCGCCTTTCAGAGGCGAGCGCTGCTGGTGTTGACTCTGCTACAGCGCACACACACGCACACACACGCCGTTTACTTGACCCTAAAAGGTTACACACAGATCTCTTCTGTACGAAATGATAGAAAACTGGAGCTCTTTCACTGCAGAGTCTCTCTGCTGCTACAGGCCAACGCGCAGGCAGCCCGTCCTCTGCTCCTCATCAAAAAAAGACAAGACGAGGTTATTTACTGCGACGGCCCGGAACACTAATCTGTTTTTAATCCTTGGTTTGTTTGTTTTTTTCATCCGGGGAAAGTCGGCCGAACACGTTTGGCCTTTTCCAGCGAGAGCAGAGCTTCATATTCACACGCGTCAACGTCCGAGTGCTGCAGTCAGAACACACACGCAAACATCTGTACACACACACACACACACACACACACCCAAACATCTGTACACACACACACACACACACACACACCCAAACATCTGTACACACACACACACACACACACACACCCAAACATCTGTACACACACACACACACACACCTAAGTGACCAAATTCACAGTGCGGCGTAGAAACAAACACACACACATCATCAGTGGAGGTGGTTTCAAACGCTGTTCTCTGTGTACAGGATTAAAGACAGCTCGTCTACAAAACACACCAGTCGTTTCAACATGACGCCTGTTTACACACACACACACACACACACACACACACGCACGCCAGTGTGCTCAGCTGCAGGTCTGGCTGATTTACGTCACTGAGGGCCAAACAGAAAGAATAGAACAGCATCCAGGGAGGTGCTCTGAGCAGCTACTGATTTACATCCACTGGGGGGGGTAGCAGGAAAAACAGGTGGACCTCTTGGCCTCCTCTGCCGACCCCAGACCCCAGAATAACGGCCCCCGTGGGACCACTCAGAACCCTCCAACCTGCCCCTCACTCATTTAATCCCTGTGGGACAATCAGGTGTCATTAAAACAGAGACCGTGTCGCTGGGAGAGGCTCAGCAGCCAGGCAGGAACTGAATCCACCAGGACCTCAAAAGGTCAGCGGTCTAAAAAAAAAACTCCCCTGCAGTCCAGCCAGGCCGTAAGCCTCGGCCTCCCTGATGGAAAACAACCTGTACTGGTTCCAGTAAGACCGCTATGGGGACGCCATGCAGAAGACAAGGCCACAGTCCTTTCATATTAAAAGTCCCATGAAGCACCGAGGTTACAAAAATACACATTCACATGTCAGAACATTTATCTCATATACTCGGCTTTCTGCAGCCACTTTTCTTTCTGAGACTTCATCCTTCCCTTTTCTCACAGCCCCCCCCCCCCCAGTTTTTGTCTTTCCCTCGGTCAAAGGAGGCCTACCCAGACCGCAGCAGGCTGTCAAACGTCTCCATGGCAAAGCATACGTGACAGGAATGACGAGGTGGTGGGCGAACACATCCTCCGGTGCGCGCTGCCTTCACCTCTGAGGAGGGCAGCGGCACCGGGGCCGCGGAAGTGTTTCCGCTGCAGCACCGCGGGCTGCTGCCGGTGCTGCTCGGTACCACCGGGGCCGTCACGCTCCTAATGAGCTCCGTGTCCATGCGCTGTAACCAACTTCGACTCCCATTGGCGCGCGCGCGCACGCACGCACGCACGCGCGCGCGCAAGCAAGCAAGCAACAGAAAACAGTGTCAAGAACAATGAGGTCACTAACTCACTGCCGGGTGTCTCAGTCCCGCTCTGAGGCCAAGTTACGGGGACTTCTCGTGGATTCAGGGGAACCTGTCCCTTCACAGGACGCCAAAAATAAAGCAGAGCGCGCGCGCACGGCTGCCTGACATACAGTGAGTGATACAGAGGCCCTTCTCTCTCTCTCCCAGCCCCCTTGGACTACAGCCTGTCCTGGTCTGCCTTTAAAATGCACCTGTTCGGGTGTGAAGCCAGAGGAATGAGCCCGGTGGGCTTCAGCTGTCCGCGCGCCGGCGCGCCGGAGGCGGCCAGGAAAGGCAGGAGGAGGCAAGCTAAGGAGGCGAGGAGGCTAGGAGGGAGGGAGCAGGGCGGTGAAGGAAAGCAGTAGCTGGGATAAGTAGCCCAGCAAGCCAGCTAATAACACAGCGACTGCCTAAAAATATCACCGACCACAGAGCTGCCGCAAATCACAGCGGAGCGAACCCGGATGTTACAAACGCACCGAATTTCACGCACAACACGGACCCAGCAGAACCGGGAGCCACAGAGGACAGCTGGGTGCTACGGTTCAGTTTCTCCTTTAATGTCTGCACTTTCTCTTTCCAGCAACACAGAGAGACACACAGCAGCACAGACACAGAACAGAACCGGGATTTAGAAAGAGACTGACCGTCAGACCTCCTCCAGGTGCGGATCCCTCCCCGCGTTCACGCTAAATCCCGCGTTCCTCCCGTCTTCGTCCGAGCGACGGCAGCTCGGCTCCCCTCCCCGCTTCCACACGGACAAATATAGGCTCTCTGCTCGGCGTCGGGTCTCCTCTGTCCCCCCTCCTGGCTGGCGACAGGCTGTCTCCGGCGGTCCAAAGTTAGTAGTCGCAGCGGAAGGTGGAGGATAAAAGAATAGAACACAAAAAGCGCCGTGTGGGGAAAATATATGTAGTGCCTGAAGCTGAGATTAAAACCAGCAGCGAAAAATATTCTGGGTTTTAAAAAAGAAAAGAGAAATGTTGGTGTGAGTGGGAAGAAGAATGAAAAAGCTTGAACGTCCGGTCGCTACGGAGCCGCCGGCGGGGCCACTGCTCCCGGTAAGCGGGCCGGAGAGGTTGCTGCTGTCGGACCTGAGGACTGGAACACGTCCCGTCCTCCCGAGGTGCTCCACACAAATGTCCGCTGCCGAGCCTGAAGGATGAATTTCCACCCGGAGGAGGAGTGGAAGGAGGGAGGGAAGGAGGGAGGGAGGGAGGGAGGGAGGGCAGTGCCTCGCATTCTCTGAATTACTCCACCCCCAAACTGCCCCCCCTCTTCTTTCCCCTCCCTCCACCTCTCCGCCTCTCTTTCATTCACCGTGTTTGTTCTCCCTTCTCTTCTTCTCATCTTTGTCTTTTTTCTTCTTTCATTCACTCTCTCTCTTTTCACCCCCCCTCCTCCCCCCTTGCAGCCCCGCCCGTGGTGAGGCAGCCCATTCACTTCCATAGTGTCTCCAAAGGCACGCGCCCTAATGACGAGCGGATCATTCAATATGCCCCCCCCCCCCCTTTATGTTAAAAGCCTTCAGAATAAGCAGCAACAACAAATGTCGGATAAAAGTTTGTCTGCTCAATAACAAAACATGCAGTTAAGATGTAGAGCAAACAAACGTGCGTCTTCCAAAAAACAGTAACTCCTGCATTATATTCTGTTCTACTTCTAGATTTTCAATTGTCACCTGAAGTTTGTGTTTCCATCTAAATGAAGGTGTGATACCTGTGTACAGGTGGAGTGTTAGCACGCCTCCATGTTTGTAGTTCTTCTGTTTATCTAATGAGCTCAAGTACCAAAGTTAAAAACAGCGTTTACGCCACAAAAACAGACATTTTCAGACCTAAAATTAACAATTAAATGAAGGAGGTTTTGTTCATTATTTCTGCCTTCATTAATATTACAGATAATATATATATTTAATTTATTTTATTTAAAAGGGACAGCGTATAGTAAAACTTAAACGATACCACTGTACCAGATTATAGCTTGAAGCTAATTCACATCTGCAGTCCCTTGGCAGGTCAGGGTTAATAACATTACAATAATAAATACATTTGCTAAGGCTGACACGACCCCGAGCCACATCGCTCAGCCCCGGCACAAACCAACAGCACACAAAGTTACATAAACACTCAAGGTTACTCAGAAACCAATCAATTAAATTAAAAGCAGGTCAAAAATCTCCAATAAAATATCTGGATCGGTGATTTCAGAGCTGAGAAGCTTTGTAACTAATTAAGCTTCTGAGGGTGCATTAACAGGCTGTTTACTGTAGACATGTGTTTCAGTTCCTCCCACTGCTGCTATGTATTGTGGGGGGGGGGGCTCCAACCTTGTGTTGTGGAATGACTAATAAACCTTGAACGTAAAGACTTTGTGTTTTGGAACAGCCGGACAAAAAGATAACCGAGTAAGAGGGAAAGCAGCGTCTCTGTAAAGTAAAAGCCTTATTTATTTGCCTGACTTAGCGTTTCTTTGCTCATATTGACTTTATGGACACCTGGAGTGGTTTTATATGCGCTTGTTCATTTCAGCACTGTGGGGATTAAGGTTTGATTGGATATAAAAGCTCAACTAAGTGTTCTATGAATTCACAAACCATCCTTTGTCTGAGGTTAAAGCCTCGTGGTGGGTGTTTTTTGTCTTTCTGAGGTTCACTATCAGCTCTCCAGACCGGCGTAACGAGCACAGGTTTGCACATTGATTTTGCTCCCTCTGCCGAGCCAAAGTCCCGCTGAAGGCAGCATTCAGGAAGCGGAGCTTCGAGTGGAAGGTCACCGGCCCGCATCTCAGACACGCTCATGAACAGGCAATGAAAACAGCTGAGCAGCTACGAGCGAGCCACTCCAAACGGTTGTGGCGAAGGTGGAGATGTGTGACTGTGCAAATGTCATGGTGAACGGACTACATTTATATAGCGCCTTTATCCCAAGAGCACTTTACAACGCTTCACATCTCCCCCACCCCCCGCACACAAACACAGATTGGTTTACAGCGACGGCAGCAGAGCGACCTGCTCACCAGGTACTGAGGTACACATTTGAGGTACTTGTATTCTTTACTTGAATATTTTCTCCTTCTACTCCATCACAGAGGGATTTATTGCACTTTTTACTTTCACTACATTTATCTGACAGCTTCAGTTACTTTACAAAGTCCGATTTTTACACAAAAAACACATGAAGAGTTTATAAATTATGATGTTTACTTATAAATTAAACTCCAACAGTTTATACAAGTAAAGCTGACAGGATTACTAGACTGACGGAAAATTTATTTGCAACCATTTTGATCTTTTAAGTGAATTTCCATATGAAACGTTTCAGGGTTCCTTTTCTTTGAATGTATTAATAATTTGTATGTTTGTTAATAATGTTGAGGTTTGGACTGTTGGTCACACCAAACAAAGCACTATGAAGGCGTGTCTTTGGGCTCTGGGTAACTGTGACGGCAAACAAATAAGCAGCAGATGAATTCATAAGGGAAATAAGTATTAGTTGCAGTCTGATACTAAACTGTTCAAAACGAGCTCCAGCTCAACAGCTACAGCAGTAAAATCTTGCTTTTACATGAATGCATGAGGAATAACACTCTCATGATATAATATGTAATAGTACAACAGTCACAGAGGACATTTTACTGCATTGAACATTTTTACTTTTAATACTGTAAGTACATTTTGCTGATTATACTTACATAATTTTAATTCAGCAAACATTTTCAGTGCAGTACTTGTAACAGAGTACTTTTACAGTGTGGTATTAGAATTTTTACAAGAATCAAACTGAAAGCGCTGCGCTCTGGAGTAGAAACATTTCTCCCAAATAACCGTTAACCTTTGTCGACCGTTTTAAGATCAGGTGGTTTGAGAGAGACCGTCGGTGCAGATGTTATCCTGGTGTCAACTACAGTTAAGTGTCTGGCTGTCTTTAATTTGATTCAGCTTTGTTCTGTCACAGAGTCTCTTGTACAAGATGAGTGTAGGTGTCACTTTTTAAATAATGTACGTCTCATTTCAGAAGCGCTGAAATGTGAAACATGAATCCGCTCATTAAATCCGTTTCATCTCATTTAAGGATGAGAACAACAGTGAACCCGCCGCGACTGCTCGATGATCTTATGTGAAAGAGAGGAGGCAAGTAGGAAAAGAAAGAGTGTAGCAGCGCTGACAATGTACAGAATCTAAAGCACCCACTGAAGTGAAGTGGAAAGACCGGGGAGAGAGTGATATGATTGAGGGGGAAGAGGGGTGAAGCATATCTTGGAAATTGTTGGTATTTTGTCCCAGAACTAGGCCATCTCTGAGAGTGTTTTCATAACTGACAGCAATCACTGTCCCTATTGTGAAGGAAAAAAATGTCTATGACTCTGGGGTTGAGTCAGATAATTGAAAAGTTATTGTTAGATGTCACAAAAAAAATAAAAATAATAAAAAAAAATTGACCAATTGACAACTTGGTCCTAAATTTTTGGCAAAAAGCCCAGATGTCTGTGGCGGTCCAAGGTTTCTGTGGGACACGGGGGCATGTAAGTGATAAGTTAAAGGACTGGTTGTATAAACTGAGTGGACTTTAAGGAAGAGCTGGTCTTCAAAGTTTAGATAAAAGTCATGCAAAAAAAAAAAAAGCATTTTCAAAGAGTGGGAGGAAGCAAAAATCCAAGCAAATGTATTATTTACCTTAAAATATTTTCACAGTTCAAGAAGAAGAAAGTACACATGAATAGATCTCTGCAGGAGGTCGTCTGAGCTGGATGCAGATTTAGCTAAGTCCCACATAAATACTGATAATCAACTTATAAGACACAAACATGTGCCTACGCTGGACGAGACGAAAAAAAGAGCAGATCTCCGTAATAATGCTGCAAAAATGTAATTATGTAACGTTAGCTTCATTTATAGGAAGTAACGTTAAATAGCTGCATGTCATTACGACATACTTGTTTGGATCATTACAAATACTTTGCTTTAAAGAGGTGGTGTTCTGCTTTTTGGCCTTTCCCCTCTCCTTTATTGAGTTATATCCTTTTTTGTGCTGTAACAGATTTGCAAAGTGAAAAAGCTCAAAGGGAGTTCCCATCTCCCACAGAAAACTCTGCTCTGAACTGAAAACAGCTCGTTTGGAGTCCAGCCGCTTCCCTTTCATCCCTGTGACATAGTTGTTCCTGTGATGTAGAGACAGAGCTCAGTTAAAACTTTATGGATACAGATTAATAACTCGCCGCTCTGAAACTCTCGCTCCAGTCCGTGTTGCCGAGCCGGTCGGCAACACGGACGGCTGAACCCGAGCCGTTTACCGGCTTCTCGCCGACCCGCCCTTCTCTGCTTCTGATTGGCTAGTAGTCCTTAACTAGGAACTGAGCATGTGCAACTCCCAACAAAGATCATTTAGAGACAAGATGTATCACTCCATAGCTAAAACAAAGCCTTCAACACAGGCTGAAAAGAGGAGCTGCAGCAATGTGAATTATGACAAAAATATAACCATGTAAAACTCTAAATAAGATGAGGAACCTGAAAATGAGCAGAATGTGACCTCTTTAAGAATACCAAGAAAAACATCTTTATCTTCTTCCTTCTACAGTCACATCGAAGCATCATAGTTGTAATAAAAGTGCCAAGAGACTTCCACCCCCTACAAGTGACGCGTTGTGATATCGAATCATTGACATAATCGTAATGGAATCGTGAGACCAGTGACCCCAACTAGTTAATGCCTAAATCTAATCAATGCTAAATGTAACAATCGTCAGTGGCTACTTTTACTCTTAATACATCACAGCTAGACTGAAATTGAAATTAAACAAAAAAAAAGGAGACATTAATCATAATTCTGACAGAAAACGATTGTTTACATCGGTGTTTTAGAAGCACAAACTGGCTAAGAAGATAAAGCTGTACGTATCTGCTGACTTCAGGATACGACAGGTCAGCAGACTAACTGAACTCCAACTGTAGCTGACATAATGGACTACCAAGCTGTTCCCGCTCGCACATCTCAGCGCAGAGCAAAGACCGGCTGCTCGAGGAGGTTTTCCACGGCTCCTAACATCTTCAGACAGGCCGGGCTTTACTGAGGGGGGTGGTGTTTCAATATTCATGACTGTACATGACAGAAGCTTCGATGAGAGGAGAAGTTAGGAGTAAACCAACGCCG